AGACAAAATAATTTTTCTTTTCAATAAATTTCGATTTGCATACGACACAGTTTTAATTCTCTTATCATGAAAATCAATGGAGCGCACTTTAAGCACTGAGATATTATCATATTTTTTGTTCCTAAACACCCACATCTGGATAGCAACTTACAATTCCAACCGCCGTACTGAAAAACAATTTGTCCTCTTCAAGCGCATTGTATCGAGATCCCCCTCTGTCTCCTCGCCATCTGCACTGTACCATCTAGATTCGTAAACTTTCTCAATTTACAAACTGAACAAATGTAAGATAAGTTAAAACCATTTTTTCTTAGTTATTTAGATATTAATTAGATTGCAAGGACATCTCCTTTCTTTCCGCCCCTTCTTCAACTAAATGTTAAAATCGTTGATGTCAATGATGTTGTGTGACTTGTTGTAAAGATTAAATCAACTTATATAACAGTTTCTCTTTTCTACTTTACCATATTGATAGAAAAATTTCATCATTTATTACTAAGCCAGTTATGAGTAAAGTTAAAACCGTCACGATTGATCTGGTTTTCCTGCGAATGGCTTTGGTGCCACGCATCTACTTGGACTCTGCTTGTTGTTGTTGCTGGTATTTTTCATTCTCAGTTCTTTATGTTTTGTTGAAGAGCTGCCACATTTGCTTGGGTGTTTATCCGTATTCTGATGCACTCAAGAGGTGGGGGGAAAACACGAAACGTAGTCGAGTGTTTCTCCCTACACCTTCGTGCTGTGGCCGCTTCCTGCGTGCTTTACAACAGAACAGAGCGCAGACAAGGCTTCTCTATTTGTTTCATATAAAACTACGTCTTCCATCGAAATCTGTTGGTGTGTATTGGACATGTATAGGATCTCAAGTAAACTTCGATTACAAACTAGCGTTTGAACTATAGTGGCAGCAAATAAAAGAAAACGAAATGAGATGACATGAATACGAATCGAGGGATGGAAACCAATTTGCAGTTTGCAATGGAAGTGATCGTCATCAATGCAGTAGAGAGGATGAATGTGAAAAGTGCTTAAAAAATCATTGATTCAACCAAAGCAGCGCAATTCCACATGTATGCTTTCAGAATATCACAAAGTTTAATTCGACCACCGCCATTCATCGATAAATGCCAATAAAGTTCGCAGCTGTCAATTGAGACTCAATAAGGCTGTTGATTCAATAAGATGCGTTCAAAGTTCTGTGAATAAAATTCTCTGGGCAGAATTTTTCCGTTTTACTCCTCAGTAGAACGATTTAGGGGGGGAAGGAGCACCATTTTTGTTTTAACAAACAAATTCTACGAAAGGAAACTTTCTTTTTTTGTAATTTGATTTGTAATTATATAAAGTTAAGAGTAAATGTGAATAAGAATAACAGATTATCGAAAAGTCGCGAACACGGTCAAAAATCGATTTGGTTAATTTTTTGCCTGTGGGTAGCCTTTTTTAGTAAACAAACGGAAATGGGGTTAGATTATTGAAATATGCACTTAAACGGGAATAATTTGTTTTAACATTTCCGGGGGTAAATAACTCAAATTTCACCAAGCGCGATCCTGAAATTATGCACTTTTCGGGCACTTGTCATGCTAACAAAAATGTAATGGGAGGACTTTTTTAGTTACAGAAATATTGAGTTGGACTTGCATTATCGAAACAAAATGATAGTTTTTGTCCCATGATTTTCTTGGAGGAGCTACGTCCCTATTAAGAGAAGACATCTTCGGCCTTTTGAAATTAAGGTAAAGGTGGCCTAGAGTAGCTTGGCAAAAATACATGTGGTAGTGTCTCAAAGTTTACAATAACACCATCAAGAAGCCTTGAAAGATAGTTCTTTACGATTTGGGTTTTATTTCTTGGGACCTTTGACTATCAAAAGATGACCACCAGCCGAATTTCGATTAAATTACTATGACGCCATAATGAGATGCTTAATAAAAAAATTAAACGCGTTGGACACAAATAACTGTTTTGGTTAGTTATATCTTCACTGGCCGTTAAAATGACTAGAAACATATTAAAATGTTACATTTCACTTGATTTTCATATATGGAGACAGGAGAAACAATTTTCGACTTTTGCTACCCTGAGAATCACGCCACAATTCTGCATAATTCTATACACAATAGGTTAAACAGTTGAATTGCACTCAAAAGGTTAAAATTGCCACAAAGCCGTTAGTTTACGTTTACTTCTCATCCGGTGAACATGGACTCGAGCATTTGCATCCCTTCTGCGCCTTCTGCAATCGCTAGTTTTGAATACACTGAAAATCGTCTAACACAAAGATAAGGAGGTTACATGAGGTTACACAAGCAGTGGTGAGCTCGAGTGACTGAAATCCGATATGTAGGACTCTGCTGTCACGCAACGCCTTCTCGTAAATAATACACGCACCGCTTTTATAATCAGCGGATCAGTTATTCGTGAAACGTTCAGTGCTCAGTTACTTGGAAGAGTAGGTACACTCCCGGACCAAGTTCGCAGATGTTAAGACCACAATATACAATCGGATGCTGAATAGCCACATTTCTTATCACATTTGCGCACGTTGCAGATAGATGACTCTCAGCTTCGGCGGAAATTTCGCCCTCGTCGACGCTCTCCATGTCCACTTCTGATACTTCACTAGCTTTTGCTTCGTTACCGGCGGCTGTAACTTCTAATCGCTTCTTTGCTGAAAGACGGCTGAAGAAGCCACTAATCTGCTGCGACGTCATCAGGTTGAAATCGGCGTCCCCCCGCTTGGTCTCTTGCTAGGCTTATGGTTTTCGAAACATCCTGTGGATCGCTTTTCCGTCCACTATACTCCCCTTTTCGAAATTGGTCAGTTAAGAATTCGGTCTGTTTCTTCGTAAAACGCACCTTTTTCTTAATTGTCTTCAGGGCCCAACCCATTGGAAGAGGCGGCAAGCCGTCACTCTTTGATTGTGCAGCAACTTGAACGTTTGTTATTCGACTGGGTCTCTCCGTCGGCTTGGTAGAATATTCTCTTTTAGCTTTATCGTAGAGAGTTTCCTGTTCGAGCAGCATTTGGTGTTTTCCAGTATTTAGGTGTGTCTGGAGGTTTGCAAAGCGACTGTATGCTTTTACACATCCTTCTTCTGGACACGGGAAAAGCATGTCATCTGGCTTATATTTCCCAATACAGCCTCGATCTCGGTTTTCGCTTTCAGTTGAGAAATCTGCTTTGACAGAGCTTTTCTTAATATGCCAGTGTCTCACAATCTTGAACGTCGGTGCGCCACTTGGATTCTGCGATGGAGAGTCTAGGATTTCCAATTTTTCGGGCTGCTTCATGACTCCTTCGAACTTGGCCCATCGCACTACTTTACCAGAGCCCACACTGAATGCTCTCCACACTCGTAGGGCACTTTCATCGTACTCAAAATTGTTGAATAAGCTTATGCCATCCCATTTGATATTAAAGGTGCTTGACGGTTTGGCAGCAACATAACTTGCTTCCACCCCTGTGGTTCCTTGGCCAGATTCAATGGCTGTTTTGAACTGTAGAGCGTTGATGACATCATTGCCTTCGTTTACGTACCTTCAAACGTCTCCCTTGATTTTTGCCGCTTTGTGATCACATACCCCCTTTCCATCTCGAGGGTCCGAAAAGTCGTTTCTTACAACAGCCACTTCCACAGCATCACCGGCCAGCTTAGCTGAGATAATTGAATTTCCGCTGTGATAACAGCCAGCGTTATCTTGTTTGTAATAAGCTATTTCCAGCTCTGGAATTTCGTTTTTCAGGGTAGTGAGGTAGTCAAGCATTATCGAAGCCACAGTCACACTGTCTTCGGCGCAGCTTTGAAATACGCGAACAAGTGTTTGGGATTCAAAGTGCTCAGAATCCTCTGATCGTCTTATGGCAACGCTAATGTGCTATGGTAATCCTCGCTTCGCAAACCAATCTGACTGTGCCTCTCGATATTTTCGGGGCATATATTTCATTGCCCAGTCCTAGACTAACAGCACCGGTCGGCTGTCGAGTTTGGCTAAAACTGAATGCTTCGCCTCAGCTTGGTGGACTGAACGTAGCTGATGGGCTTTCCAGCTAATGATATAATCCCTTGCCTGTTTGATGGTATGCTGCATGTCAGCTTGATCTTCTGCTAACGAGAGCGCACTTGAACACTCATCTTCTATGGTACACAATACTTCCTGTAACTCATAACACTTTTCACATGACTCATTGTGGAGATGGTCGCAGGAGCCCCGAAATTCAGCACTGCTTGGGTTACTTTGCCTTTAAATATAACGCTCTGGTATCATTTTTCTGATACATTGGGTTTTTTTTTTTTTTTTTTTTTTTTTTTATTAATTTTATTGGCATTCTACTGAGTTACAGAAGTAATAAACGAGAAGTTACACGTACAAAAAAAAAAAAAAAAAAAAAAAAAAAAAAAAAAAAAAAAAAAAAATTGCCAAAAGGGAGTAACGAACGGGACGTGAGTACCCATGCAAGGAAACTCCTTACAGAATAAAAAATAAATAAATATTACAAAGTTTTAAGTCAGTGCGAATGAGTTCTATGGCAGGAACAGTCTATAAACACTGACCAGGTACACGGTTGGTCAATATCGAAAACATTTGCTAATAAATTAAAATAGTGATTAGTGACAAAGTTCTTAAAGGATGAAAGAGTACCTAAGGAAGACGGAGGAGCTACTTTACACATAATATTCCACAGTTTTGTAATTCTATTAAAATATGAGGCCTTAAATAAAGATGTTTTACAGGACTGACTGGTTTTATGATCTCGCCAGCCGACAATTTCAGAAGTTTTTCCCCGAAAGGAACATCTTGAATAACGTGTGGACTCGTTATGAAAGAAACAAAATGTTCTAATTTTACAGGTTCAATTCGCATTCTCCTTTTCTCCTGGTTTGAAGAGGAGCAGCTCTTCCATGTATCGGCCTGTGGCATCGGGCAATGTTGTAGCGATAGCTATTAACGGTTGGAATAAACTCCCTCATCTCCCCACGGGATAACTTGTCTGCCATCAAAGAGAGTATTTGCCGTCTGGTGCTCCAATGTTGCGCTTTCAAGTAGCTTTCAGCAAATGCAATAAGAAGCTCCGTCTCTTTTTCACTTCTGCCTTCGACCACAACCTGACTCTCGCTGCATACAGCGTGACGATCACAAAGCTTCCTCCACAGTTCTTGTGACTTTTCAGGTGACAGGACATCCAGCATTGCAGAAATACATTGTTGAGCTTTCCGTAAGTGTATGCGTTTAGTACGCTCGTGCGCTGTATTCCATTGCACTGATAACGTGTGACGTACTGGACTGACGTCTCGAAGCTGTAACAAGCGATTTAGCTGCACCTGAGACTCGTTGTCTATAATGGAGCTTTCATCACTCTCTTCGGAATCTTCTTGCGGAACAAATAGGCTCTACCGTCTGGATGTGGAACCTTCTGGCAATGCTTCATCACCAACAGTGACAGCACAAGTGGCAGGAATATCAGAGTCACTCCCTTGTTCATCAACCTGACGAAAAATTGAACACATTGCTTTGGATGGCTTAAAAATGAGATAAACCGTATGCACGCGCAGGGTGTCGTGTATGAAAGCGCAAGTCGCATGCAAGGCGGAAGTTAATAGTCGATAATTATTCTTTACCTTATAATATTATTGAGTGATAACCTATTCTGATATCTTTATCCAGTTACCTCTCAGTATTATTTTCCATGTGAAGCATTTCGATAAACAAGTGGAGAAGCCATATAAGCTCCATATAAGAATTTAAAACCTAAATTATTTGAATATATCCTGGAGTGTGATTTGCTATCAGGGCAGGGCACGCCTATCCAATTCTTGTGCCATGTATGGTTTTGCCTAGTCGTTGACGGGCGGCAATGACGGCGTTTGAGCATGCGCATGCAAGTTAGCCTGGATACGCCCTCTTCCCAGCTGGGTTGAATCCCTAGGCATGAAAGGGCGGAGAAGGGAGAATTCAGAGCATGCGTTACGGTTTTCCACTTTTATTAATTATGTTGGATGGAAATTCTTCATGTACACTTTGAAGAAACTCACCAAGGTTAGACCGCTTAGACCTGCTATGGTGTTTTCCACACCTCCTGTGGCACCCAAGCTCTGCGATTGTAACTGATTTTTTTGTTTTTGCTAGGAACTGTCGACATCGCATACAAATTTCTTTAATATTTTGAGAGAAAGAATTAATTTATACTTTTTCCCTTACACATCCTCCTTTAACAAATAGCTCTGTATGTGGTAAAAGAACAAAACTGGTCCAGGCAAAAGCCCCACAAATCCTAAATTGATGACACATTCTGTAGTTAACCTTGTCATAAGTCAGTATTTTACGTTCCTTTCCTTTTTTCCCCACATTGTTAGAAGGAATTCTAATATCTGTGAATATTTCAATTCCAACGTTCCCCACGCCATTAATAAGTTTTGACAGGAGCCCATCACTGGTTTTGAATAAGTTTTGAAGGAGATGAAAATGTTGAGTGAACGCCAGTGTTTTCCGACGTAAAAATATTTGCAAAAATCCTGAAAAGACATGAAAATAATTTTGCTGTTAAACTTGGCGTTGTTTTACGCGACAGTGAAGTGATTTGAAGTTAGGATATGAAGTCTGTGAATCCCGCCAGGTACCCTGTATGAAACGAGAAGCTATACGGATGTTTATCCTTACATACAATGAGAATAAACTAGAGGGACGTCAATTCTTACAAGATCATGACTCATTGTAATCGCTTACCTGATCCGATGGGTACGAGGTTTTTCGTAAGTTCAAGAATTTGTATTGAGTCCTGCAAAGTAATTCCCCTTTCTGGTGCGGGTACTTCTTTAGATTCCTTTTTGTGACCCGAAACATCCTGTGGCACAGAACATAATCTACTAGCTCTTCTCCAGCCGATTCCAAGGTTTGATCGATGTAATAGGTCATTCACGAGGATCCCGCTTCTTGCTAAGATAAGTTCAATCTCTGTCTCAACACTTGAAAATGTAAAAAACACTTGTGGCTTCTGATATCCTTGCTGCATGATGACAGAGACACTGTCTGAGTGGACTGATGCCTTGCGCGTTCCTCTGCACCACAAACGCCACCAACAATATCAAGTAAAGAACAAGACATTCTTTTTCTGCTGGAGTAAAAGCAACCGTTGTCTTAACGATTCGACGATCATCGACGATTCTTACGCTTTTGTTTTTTGTTTACTTTTGTTAACTGATCACATTTGTTTTCCGTGGGAAAATTGTATCGTTATTTTCGTTCCATAGGGTTTTCACTGTACGGTTTGTATTTGTGAAATTTTGCAAAGTCTTTTTCTGTCTTGTATCGTTTTCGTTCCTGATGACAATATATTTGTTTAGATTTTATATGTGAGGCAGAATGAATTGTTTGTTGATCTTGTTACGTGACAGATTATCATATGTCTCGCAGAGTGACAGGAACCCGTGAAAAATTAATTAAAATCCGGCAAATCCCTAGCGTTACCGTCCTGCCGTTTTGTAGGGGACCCTTTTTGAGTGGGACGTCAAAAAAAACCAAAATTAGGATCAAAGTAGACTAAACGTAACTGGGTTGCGACACGCTGTAGAAAATGACAACAACAAGTAACTTTATTTTACTCATCCCGGTGTCACAGCGGATTTGGACCCCCCCCAGTCCAAATCCGCTAGCGGATATGGACCCCCCTTCGCAGATTTGGACTCCCCTACCAAACGTTCCTTTTAAGCATCCTCTGTATCATATTTGGTAACTAATTCTATTTGCAAGCTTTTTTGTCGATGTTCTTTTCAATCACAACACAACATTTCCTCAATAAAGGTAAAAAAAAAAGCCATTTCGTTCCAATTCTACCGCATTCATTATAGCGAGTCGTACAGTATACACAAGAATTAGATGTGAACAAACTACTGCATTAGAACTATTAAAATTGTCACAATAAATCTTTGCTTCTTCTGATGCGAATCAACATTGGTACGAAACGTCATAACAATAGTGGAGACTATTGCGTCCAGTCACAAAAATAATTCAGTCTGATTTTCTAAAATAATAACATTAAACAGCTTTTGAACAAGAACGAAGAAACTACTCGTATTACAAATGATAGGTAAAAATGTTTCTTTTCTGAACTATTGGAACTCTCAGCTTATTTTCAGATGCAAATCAACGTTAATGTCAACGTCCTAACAAAAGTGGAGACTATTACATCGAACTCAATTTTATTTTCTAATTTTAGCGATTATTAACTGTTGAGGGATCCGAAATAACACCTTAACAATTACGAAGACGTCTAGAGTCTGGCAATCTGCAGACAATGCAGAGCCACTCGTCCTCCGAGGCAGTCTTAAATCCCTCGCACTGTACTATGTCGTCCCAACACTTGGGTATTGAACAATGACAAAATAAATGAGTGTCACAAGTTTGTTTCTTATTGAATCTAACGGTGTTCGACTATCGCGGAAAAGGTTCAAAAACGACCTCTCTCCAGACATTAAACTAAATTCTTGTCCATTTTCCCTTGGTCAAAAGAAACATCCGACGGCATGCCAGTTCGTATGCATTAACGATACGCATGTTTTGAATTGAAAACATACTTTAGTACGCTCTGGAACGTAAAGTATCATCCTTTTTTACTAGAACGTTAAGGATGATGTTTTCACTCAGTTTTGTTGGGGGGTCCAGATCCGCGGAGGGGGATCCAAATCCGCTAGCGGATTTGGACCGGGGAGGTCCATGTCCGCTAGCGGATTTGGACCGGGGGGTCCATATCCGCTGGGACACCGGCTCAGTGGCTTCAATGAGTTAGCCGGTTGGCCCCCTTTACACCAAATTGCAACGGACAGTATTTCGAAAAATATGCGGAATAACAAGGGCCTATAAAAGATTTCTAAGGTAAGGAACTATTAATGTCAAAGCAAACATAAAAAGCTTAGTGCAGCTGCGACTCAAACAATGCTTTGCTTGTGTCATTGCAATGTTGATTTTGTTCATTTCAATATGGCGCCCTTTACAATTTTAGCGAAGTTTGGTTGGTTGGTATATCAAAACAGCAGAAGATACCAGACAAATGAAATGATGAATTTGAAGACCCACCTTGCATAGTATTGCTGGAGATTTTGAGACACTACCACATGCATTTTTGTCACACTACATTAGGCCGGGTTAGACATGCATTAAAAATGGCGAACATGTCCACTGGTAATTAACCCGTGGTTTCGTCAGGGAGGAAACGATACAAAAAATATCACTATATCTTGGTAATAGAAGGCCACATGAGTTTATTTATAGCTAGAGAAGTCCTGCTGATGCATTTTAGTTCATGCAAGGACGGCCTGAAAACTGCATAATTTAGAGCTCGCACGCACTCATTTTCGATCATGCAATTAGTAACGGTTTATTTCCGTTAAAATAAATATTTACACAAACTAACCTCGCTTCCCTTTAAGTAGAACCTATAGCTACCTGTAGACAAAAAATGAGACGAAACGATTTTTTGACCATGTCCGCGATTTTTTTATTTTCTTTGATTTTTAGAGACATTCACTCTTAAGTTGTGTCCATTACTGCGCAGATCGCTCTCATATTCATTTCTTAATCCGCAATTCACATATATTAGACTTTCATACATTCACAGTCATTGATTCACCACCTCACGGGTTGAGGCCAACACAGTTACAGCTCCCAGTGGGCTTGCTAACTCTGTTGGTAGAGCATTACACTAGTGTCGCAGAGGTCATTGGTTCAAATCCCGCACAGGCCTATCAAAATCGTAGAAACTTACAGTGTTGTTTAGCTTGTGCTTGTGTGAAAACGGATCAACAGATTCTTTTTGTTTTGCTGAAAGATCCATCGCATTTACTTTGATGTTCAATCTCTGCAGAACACTCTTTAAAAATGGTTCGTCTAAAATTAATACATATTATTGACTAAAAGCTGTACAATTTTCGTCAAGCTAATTTGAATTCGCCAAGCACCTCTACAAAATTTATGAAGTTTATCCTCGGAACTCATCAACCTCTATCAGTTTTCTTTGATTGGCCCACCTACGATTAACCATATTCTGATAGGTTTCTTAGGTTTATAAATTATAAATATATATTTATAAATTATATTCTGTTTTCAACTTTCTTCTTAAACATGGGAGGAAAAAATGAGATGATGGGAATCGTGAATAACATTTCCCCGTGCAACTCAGAGTGACATTTGAGGATTTCTTTTTCACGCCGTAATCGTCTTTTTTATTATTCGAACGAGGGCAGCTTTTTTGTAATAACAGCTCTCCTAATGAGCTCAAATAGAAATTATTCTACCAGAAAAAAAAGTCAAACAAACAAACATTGAATTTTTCTCAGTGAAAAACTGTAATAAACACAGTTTAACTTTGATGCTAAATCTAGCATTACAACAAAATCTACCGATAAGTTTCCCAACCATTTAAAAGTGTTATTTACAACTTGCACTAACTCACATGAGCTTGAAGTGCCTGTCTATCTATGTTTTCTTGAGTTTAAAAATAAAATATCAAGTTGAAAATATGACTAGATAGCTGACCAAAGTGACGTCTTATTTTAGAATGATCAAACCTCAGTGAATATTATCACAACATTCCAAGCATTGCGAAATTGACGTGTCCAATTGTTGAAATGAGCTCTATCATGACACTTCGTGACTGCCATGTTCAAAGTGTTTGCCACTATATCAAATTCTGAATCAAACTAACGTATGAGCGATCCATTTTGATAAATCCTGTTGGTTTGTGGAAAATTGAGAATCGGTGTGAATCTGTTTAAACTATTTGTTTTCTTACTCCGCCTCTGGAAACTGGTTTGAAACTTTGTAGTTTTGAAACGGGAATAAATTAATAAATTAATTAAAGTTTTTAATCTTCTTCATTGGGGTTCTCAAATTTGACGGCAGTGTGACCAAGTGGCCAGGGCGCGCTAGAATTGTAATCTGTTGGTCCCGGGTTCCATGTTACTCTCTGGATTTTCGTTTGCTCAGTATTCAACTGCGTGACTGTTCACAGTCAATCTCAGTTATTTTTCCATCTCTTACAAAGTATTATCCTTGTCAGACACTTGATCGTTGACTGATGCGGAGAACTACCTGAATATGGTCCA